TCCAAACCTGAAGAGCATTTTTATGAGTTTGTTTGAGCCAAAATGATAACTTATGCCGGGAGCAAGATTGAAATGCTCCAGGGAATAACAGTTTTGCATCTTATTTTATGCATTTGAAATTAAGAAAGAAACATGGAGGTGGGAGAAAGCAAGGCAGGGACTGGATTACAGGATAGTTAACAAGATTATATGCTTTCTTGAGGATGGTTGCAATTTATTTCAAAGGTGCACTAGCCTAGTTGCATAAAAACAATGGGCAGGGCTTGCTTAAGGTAAAGATAAACCTTTTACTAAAGAAGTTATAGTCCTGGGGTGTGAGTACCCGCCACGACCTGCCCAGTTAGGAATTTATGATCAGATCACCCTATGAGGTTACTTTCCAAAGAACTCCTTTTTTTGGTTCCTATATCCATCAAAAAGACATTTGTTAAATTGTGGAGTGTTCGTGCTGTGGCATATTGTGATACGCATAAGAAAAAGGAGGTAGACTTAGTGACCTGGAAATATCTCCTAGATACATGGTTAAGTGAGAAAAACAAGTTGCCAACTAGTAAGTATATTACAATTCATGATTTAAAATGTTAGTAAAACTCTTGAAGGATGATCACAAAGTAACTTGCCAGTGGAGAGGGAAATGAGGTTAAAGTGAGAGGGGAGGAGCTTAAGTGGGATATTTTTAAATTAAAAAAAATAAAGTTCTGAATGATCTGAAGTTTTAACATGTAATTGTAATAAGTCCTAACTAATTTCCAGACACTGTTCTAAGTGTTTCAGACCTACTAACCTACTTAATACTCTCAATAAACCTATGGAAGTAGTTATCATTAATTTTCCCCATTTTATAGCCAAAGAAACTGAAGCACAGAGAACACACAGGTAATAAATGGAAGAGCTGAGATTTGAACCGAGGTCACCTGGCTCCAGAATTTGTGCACTAAACCTCCTCACTATTATGGATTATGTCTCTCAGTGAACTATGTTGGTCCATTGGATGTTAACTGTAAATGTAATATGGTCCCAATTAAAAAAACAAACTATATGGGGTGGGGGAGTGGAATTTAGGTCTCTAACGCTATCTCTTTAAAACATTGATCCAAAGATTCACTCTGAATTCCAGCTCAGATGAAATCATTTAGGAGTGAAAAAAGTTGTTTCAAAACACCAAGTCTTGCTTCTCTCTCCTATCCAAACTGCTGGTTAACATTTCTTGAATAAAGGCCAAATGCTTTTACCATGGAAATAGAGATATGGTTTAATAGGCAAATATCTCTCTGATTTAATACTACCAAGGTTTAAAGAGCAATTATATACAAAGAGCAAATTATGATATGGGATGGGAGAAGACAGGCAGGAAGGAGAGAGCCTGAGAGCACTTAGAGAGTTCACATGGGGAGGGTGGAGGCAGCAGATTATCATACACCTGTCATATTATCATGTACATATCCTATTAATAGCTATTTTAATAACACAGCTTCACAGTGATTCAAGCCTTGGCTTTTATAAGCTCTTTCTCATGTATTTTACACCTTTGATCCTTCCTTGAAGCTAGAGAATATTGATATACCCATTTTACAGATAAGGAAATCAAGGCTCCAGGAGATTGTAAGGTAGTAAATTACCAAGTTGGAGCTGGAACCCCAAATTCCTAATTCTCTTTCCAGGACCCTTGAATCACACCCAGATACCTCAGGCACAACACAGCCCTACCCAGGGTTAGGCCCAGGTCAGCATCAGTGGAAGAAAGTGGAGCAGATGAAAGACCCAGATGTTAAGGGTAGTGATGGGGTCCCGGCCAAGACCCACTGACGGGTGTCCAGGTGCAATGACAGAGCAGGAGCCCTGGTCAACCAAAGGGCAACACGATGCCAAGGCCAGCCGCAGGTTGGGGGAAAGGCCCACCACGTCAGCCAAAGAGGAAGGAGAGTTGATTTGGCATCTATATGCGATGACTTCGCTCCCACCCCACCCACATTTCTAGGATCTTCCTCCTACTCCTTTCTCTCTTCGCTCCTCTATCCCACTCCTACTCTCATTTACAGTCATAACAAGCAGGAAAATACATACTATTCCCTTGAGTATAATAAAAAGCCCTACTAATTCTTTGAACTTCTTTCGGTTTTATCACCTAATTAGGATAGGTGAAGTTCCATAACTCAATCACTTCACTCCTTAATTAATTCCCATTAATCTCTTTACTGCTTCATTCAGTCTTAAACTCCTTTCATATTCGCTCTCCCTGCTAGTGCTACAGCAGCTTTAGGTATCAAATGACCTCCAGATGGATATTGTATACCTCCCACAACTTTGTGTCACATCTGCTAAAAAGGTGTCATGCCAATGACACAAAGACATGGATAGGCTCCACAAATCCATGTGACCTGGAGGAAAAGTATAAATGAGAACAAACATGCTTCAATTCCTCTGGGTTAGCTGATGACTCCTGACATTTCCTGCAGTGTGTTTGGACTGATGATAGTAGTGGGTGGGAAAAGGCACTAAGGAGGCAAGAATATTAACAGTTAAAAAGCTAGTGTGCATTCCAAGGAAGGCATCTCATGATTTTTGTTTCCATATTTTATTTTTGTTCTTACCACTGCCCACATAATTCTAAAAATCACCACCAGGGGGCAGGAGTAGGCCAACGTCGGATGTTTGAACCTGCTGGGTTTGGATTTCCTTTGGGAGAATTTCCTTACAGAGCAATTACTGTTCCTATTATACAGATTAAGAAACTAAGGCAGAGTGAAGTAAACAGGCTGCTTAGCATCATATGAGTGGCAGAAGTAGGATTGGAACACTGGTTTTGGTAATCCATTTGGCAGGCCCATTTGGCAGGCTCTTTTAGAAATTACCTAAGTTTGTAGCTATGATTTCCACATTTTTTTCAATGTTAATAGTCCCCCCCCATTTTTAAATGTTTAAAAAATTCTTTATTGTTTAAAGTATTACATATAGTATTACATACGTCTCCTTTTTCCCCATTGACCTCTCCCTGGCCACCCCCACCCCCCCTTTACATGCCCTCACCCCCCTAGTGTCTGTGTCCATTGGTTATGTTTATATGCATGCACACAAGTTCATTGGTTAATCTATTACCCCCACTCCCACCCCCGCCTTCCCTCTGAAGTTTGATGCTCTGTTCGATGCTTCTATGTCTCTGGCTCTATTTTTGTTCATCAGTTTATGTTGTTCATTAAATTCCACAAATGAGTGAGATCTTTTAATATTTATCTTTCTCCGACTGGCTTATTTCGCTTAGCATAATGCTCTCTATGTCCATCCATGCTCTTGCAAATGGTAAGAGGTCTTTCTCTTTTGCAGCAGCATAGTATTCCATTGTGTAGATGTACCTCCATTTTTGTTTTGTTTTGTTTTTTATTGATTTCAGAGAGGAAGGGGGGGAGAGAGAGAGAGAGAGAGAGAGAGAGAGAAACATCAATGATGAGAGAGAATCATTGACTGACTGCCTCCTGCACGCCCCACACTGGGATTCAAGCCTGCAACCCAGGCATGTGCCCTTGACTGGAATTGAACCCAGGACACTTCAGTCCATTCAGTCCACAGGCTGACGCTCTATCCACTGAGCCAAATCAGCTATGGCTGAATTGTACATTTTAAATTGATATACTTTGCTGCACTTTGATAAACTAAAAACTTCCTAGCAAGACTGGTCAAGAGGAAAAAACACAAATTTTCAATATAAGGAATGAAAACAAGAATATCTCTGCAGATTCTACAACATTAAAAAGATAGTAAGATGATATAACTATCTTTGTGCAATAGATTTAACAATTAAGAAAACAACATTGCTACATTAGTATTGACTAAACTCCAGACTTTACTCATATTTCATCAGATTCTTTTCATTAGTGACCTTTATCTGTCCCAGGATCCAGCCCAGGGTCCTACACTGTGTTTAGGTATTAGTCTTTCCTTATTTTTCATGACAGATATTTGTAGAATGTCCCTCAAATTGGGTTTGTCTTAGGTTTTTCTAATTATTAGAGTGGGATATGGGCTTTTAGAAAGAATACCACAGAGGTGATATGCCCATCACATCATATTAGGGTGTATGATATCCACCCTCTGGTGATGTTAGGCTTGATCATTTGGCTAAAGTAACATCTGCCAGCTCTCTCCACTATAAAGTTGCTATTTTTCTCTCTCCATACTCTATTCTTTGAAAGTGAGCTACTAAGTTCAGCCCATACTCAAAAAGCAAGGGGGAGACAAATATCAACTGATCCCACTTGTATGTGAAATCTAATAAACAAAATAAACTGATGAACAAAATAGGTCCAGGGGCACGGATGGATTGAAAGACTGACAGATCTCAGAGGGAAGGGAGATGGGAAGAGATTAACCAAAAAACATACATGCATGTATGCATAGCCCGTGGACTCAGACAATAGTGTGGTGAAGGCCTGCAGTAGGGAAGAGGCTGAGGGGGAGGGGGGGAAGCAAAGAGGGAGAAATGGGGGACATCTGTAATACTGTCAACAATAAAAAATTAATTAATTTTTAAAAAGCAATGGAGATAAGAGGAGGCTAAGCTTACCTCCTAGAGTGGGAAGTAGCTACATGCATTATTTGGAATTATTTTGTAAGGAATATTTGTCTCTTCTTTCCCAACTATTTATTTATTTATTCAGTAATTTCTTTATGTCAATATGGATGCAGAGCAAAACAAGGAAGAATAAAGAATGAATATGAGCCCTGAACAGTTTTGCTCAGTGGCTAGAGCGATGGCTGAAGAACTGAAGGGTCTCAGGTTTGATTCGTGGTCAAGGGCAGAACCTGGACTGAAGGTTCAATCCCCACCTAGGATTGGTGTGAGCGGGAGGCAACCAATCAATGTGTCTCTTTCACGTCCATGTTTCTCTCTCTCTCTCCCTTCCCACTCCCTTCCACTCTCTCTAAAAATCAATGGGGAAAATATCCTCATTCCTTGGGTAAGAATTTAAAAAAAGAATGGACCTCTTCCTCTGTGCTACCTATAGAGGTGGCAGCCATCTCCTACTCGGCACCATGACTGCCCTCAGACCCCTCGTGAAACCCAAGATTGTCAAAAAGAGGACCAAGAAGTTCATCTGGCACCAGTCAGACCGATATGTCAAAATTAAGCGAAACTGGCAGAAACCCAGAGCATTGACAATAGGGTGCGTAGAAGATTCAAGGGCCAGATCTTTTTTTTTATTATTATTGCTTAAAGTATTACAAAGAGTATTACATATGTCTCCTTTTTTTTTTCCCCGCCCTTGACAGTCCCCTGGCCTCTCCTACCCCCCAGTGTCTTATGTCCATTGGTTATGCTTATATGCATGCATACAAGTCCTTCGGTTGATCTCTTACCACCCCCCTCCTGCCTCCCAACCCTCCCCGGCCTTCCCGCTGTACTTTGACAGTCTGTTCGAGGCAGCTCTGCCTCTGTATCTGTTTTTGTTCATAAGTTTATAATGGTCTTTATTATCCATGAATGAGTGAGTTCATGTGATATTTATCTTTCTCCGACAGCCTTATTTCACTTAGCATAATGCTCTCCAGTTCCATCCATGCTGTTGCAAATGGTAAGAATCAAGGGCCAGATCTTGATGTCCAACTTTGGTTATGGGAGCAACAAGAAAACAAAGCACATGCTGCCCAGTGGCCTTCGGAAGTTCCTGGCCCATAACAACAAGGAGCTTGAAGTGCTGCTGACGTGCAATAAATCTTACTGTGCTGAGATTGCTCACAACGTCTCCTCAAAGAACTGCAAAGCCATTGTGGAAAGAGCAGCCCAGCTGGCCATCAGAGTAACCAATCCCAATGCCAGGCTGCGCAGCGAAGGAAATGAATAGACAGATTGTGTACACATTGTATGTATGTTAATAAAATCATAAAATTCTGCAATAAATAAATAAATAAATAAAAGAATGGATATGAAAGTAAACAGGCAGTTGATTGGCACCAGGGCTCAAGTCAATTATTACTTAACTTGTTTTCTCATTTCTTTGAGATTTGGAGGCTCAGAGCCAGGACTAAGGTGTCTTTTGGATGACTAGATCTGTGAGGGATCGATGTTTTGTGTCACCCAGCTTTGGAACCAAGAAAACGGGCCATTGTGTAGATTTCTGACAAATGCATGGTTGACACAGGAACATAAACTGATTCCTCTCTCAAGAGCAAATTAAATTAAGAAAACTGAAGACACAGAAAAGAGCTTATAATACATGTGCTACCTTTTCTGTAACTGCCCAAATATAGCAAGAAGTACCTCAGCCCTGCATTAACCAGAGTAGTTCTGTACTCAGCTTTCAAGGATATGGAGGAGTGTCAAGAACAGTGGAGGGTCTGGGTGATGGAAATGGAGAAAAATAGTTTATAAGTGACAACCTATGAGAAGAAATTTAACTTTGTATGTATCCCCAGAGCTAACTAGTATCTGGCACATAGAAGGGTTTCTTTCATCAGGAAAGGTCAGAAGGGGCAGAAAGAACAAACAACTTTTATGGGAGACAGCTGCAGCAGGGAGGTTACGGGAGATGGCCGCAGCCCGGGAGAAAACTGAAAAACAAGCAACTTGATAAGAAACTAGACAGGCATTAATTCACAACGGCGCCAAGATTCCCAGAAGAATGACCCCCTTGCTCCCCCCGTTTGCTTCCCCCGTTTGCTTCCCCCGTTTGCTAGAGGGGTATATAACCTGTGCTTAAACTCTTAGTCGGGGCTGACAGCCGCTGCTCTGCTGCGTTCAGAGTAAGCTGGTAAGCCCCAACATGTTGGTAACTAAATAAACCCTTTGCCTTTTGCATGAGAAGCGTCTCTTGGTTCTTTGTGACAGCGGCTTGAGTGACAACCTATGAGAAGAAATTTAACTTTGTATGTATCCCCAGAGCTAACTAGTATCTGGCACATAGAAGGGTTTCTTTCTTTTTTAAAAAAAAATTTCTCTAGATTCCTTTTTAAAAAGTTTTTTTTATTTTTATTGATTTCAGAGAGGAAGGGAGAGAGAGAGAGATGGAGAAACATCAATGATGAGAGAGAATCATCAGTCAGCTGCCTCCTGCACACCCCCTACTGGGGATCGAGCCCACAACCCAGGCATGTGTCCTTGACTGGAATCGAACCTGGGACCCTTCAGTCCACAGGCCAATGCTTTATCCACTGAACCAAACCAGCTAGGGCTATAGAAGGGTTTCAATAAATATTTGCTGAATGAATGCTTGTCTTGGGGATCTGTGCCCATTCCCTCAGTAGAACACTGAAGGGCATGGAACAAGGAGTAAGACATGTCTGTGGATTTGGACTTGAAATGAGCTCAAAGCAAATAAATAAATATTCTTAAGTTAAACCTAAAATATCTATGATGTTGCCCTGGCCAGGGTGGCTTAACGGTTAGAGTGTCAGCCCACAGAGCAGAGGGTCTCGGGCTCAATTCCCAGTCAAGGGCACATACATACCTAGGTTGCAGGTTTGATCCCCAGCCCGTTTGGGGTATGAGCAGGAGGCAACCAATCGATATGTCTCTCTCACATCCATCTCTCTTGTCTCTTTCTTCCCCTCACCCCTCCCTTCCACTCTCTCTTAAAATCAATGGAAAAAAATATCCTCTAGTAAGGATTAACAAAAAGCAAGCAAGCAAACAAAATCTATGATGTTGAAATCATAGGGAAGACACTGAGCTGAGCTGTCATTCCCTGATTATGACATCAATTTGAGGATGTTGGGGTGGGATGATGAAGCTGTTTTGTGTGTGTGTGTGTTTTTTTGGTTGTTTTTTTAAGCTCCAGTTGACTGATACCAAGAAACCCGTGGGCAGTTCTCCAGCAGAGCACCCCTCGTCGTGCTCGGTAACTTCTAACTTTCCTCTTGCCCCATCCTCCTCAGCTGCTGTCAGTTGGTTTGTGGCAGAGGGGAATTCCAGCCCATTTTAGGGAAATTAATAGGGAGGTTCCTGGTCGGTATCCTTCAGTGGATCCTGAGACCCTGACGAGAAGGGTAGAGCTGAGACACACAGTTCTGGGAAGGTTATGAGGCCAAGAATGGGTATGAATTAACTAAAACCCTCACAGACAATAAACAAAAAAATCCATTTAAGTGTTCTCACAAATCTAGAAGCTCAAAGTTTTACACAATCTGATAAAATAGGGTAACAGGAGGTGAGGTTGCTTGACCATTACCTTTGGGCCATCAGCAAACCAGGCATCTCCATGTCACTTCATTTCTTAACTAAACTGACCTCCTACCCTTCCTACTTTAATTTTATATATTTTTAATTGATTTCAGAGAGGAAGGGAGAGGGAGAGAGATATGGAAACATCAATGATGAGAGAAAATCATTGATTAGCTGCCTCCTCCAGGCTCCCTACTGGGGATCAAGTCCACAACTCAGGTATGTGCCCTGACCGGTAATGGAACCGGCAACTTTTCAGTGTTACCGGAGGATGCCCAACTAACTGAGCCACAGGGGCAGTGCTTATTTTTAAGTAATATCTTATTTATAAATATTTACAACATTTGCCTACTTTGCACAGATAGTTGAACGGAAAGCTCCTTCGAATCATGGGATGTGAGATTTGCAAGATGCTGAAGAGATTATTCAGTTCAACCTCCTCATTTTGTAGGTGGGGAAGGCAAATGTTTGGCTTAACGGTACAGGTCGCGTTAGAAGCCAAGTGGGACTGTGACCTCAACTATAACTCCCAGTGTAAGGTTCTTCTGTTACCCTAGGGCTGCTCCCTACCTTGGGTAACCTCAGAGTGGATTCAACGGCCAGACCTAAGGCTGTCCTACCTTCCCACCTATCAAAGCTCAGGAACAGACAGTGGGAAAACTTATTAAATGGGAGGTTTTTTAAAAATCATATATGTAAAAAAGAGCAGCTTGGAACTGGGAAGAACAGGTCCCATGAAAGACGGAAATCGTTAGCCATTGAGGACTCAGAGGAGCAGGACCATTTCACCAGCAACCATCCCGCATTTGCCACAAGCCCCCAAGAGAGGCGACCTTCAATCATCTCACAGGAGGTGATGAGCGCTGTCACCCACCACCAAAAATAAAGCAGGAGCTAAAATTTAATACTGAAACCCAGTAATATGAAAACCTGGTAGTTTCGCTAGCCACTCAAACTTAAATTGTCCTCTGAGAATGAACAAACCCCATAGACATGAAAGTTCAGGCATTAGTTAATTCTTAACAAACAAGCCATGGGGCACTATCTTGGTTACCATGCAACCGAAATACAGCTCTCTAAATGGTTAAGTCATTATGACTACAAACAAAATACAAAACTAAGCAGTAAGTTCCAACATTTTGCAAGGGTGCAGAGACTTACATTTATGGGACAAAGAGATCAACATCAGAAGAGCAAGTTCCCCCAAAGAAGTAGAATTTGGTCATGAACTCACAAAAACACATCCAAGGAAAGCACCTAATAAATAAAAGAAGGGGGAGCTGAATGGGTGCAAACTGGGGAGAAGAAAGATTAAATGAACTGAAGGGGATAGCTCTAGTGATGACCCAACAGAATTCAATGCCACCAGAGGCTGAGCTTCTCACTTAAAGACGTATCAGCAAGATTCTTCCTTTGAAATCTGAGAAACATTGTATCTGTTTCCAAGATCTTAAGTGCCAAAAAGGGGATGGTATTCAAGTTAATAACTATCAAAAAGGAAAAAAAAAATCCAATTGTTAAAAGATTTCACCATGGGTCTGAATAAACTTAAAAAGCACAAGCAAAGATGTTCTGCCTGCTGGGCGGGAGGGAGAGGGAAGTGGGAGCCCTGAAACCCACAGAAAGCTGAGTAGTTGCGGGAACCCTTTCTCGTCTCGAAAACCTCAGTAAAAGTACGCAGCTAAAGGTAAATAAAGCACATTTTTTAAAAGACCGTACTTTCATTTCTTTCACACTGAGCAGGATATTCCAGGGTTCATCAATTTCTTGTTTGTGAACACATTCTTTATGCAAATGGTTCTTTCATTTTGAAATGCAGCTGTCTTTACAAATTCAAATATTTTACTTTCTTGCCCTTTTTAATCTCCCCCCCCAATTAATTTGCCCTGTGGACAATATCTCCATTGAACTAGTCCATACTTTTATACATTTTATATTTCTCCTGTTCTACTAAACTTTTATTCCCTTAATATTTACAAAATGGCGATATCTCATTCTCTATCCATTTTTGGACACTTTTTATTTTATGTGCAATTTCTCCATTTGTCTATCCTCACACACACATATCCAAACGGATTAACGTTCATGTGAAACTGGAACTTAAGTAAAGAACTGTGTCTCTGCCTTATCTTGGTCAATTAGCTTCTCTAGAGCCATTCTTTGGATCCATTAAATGGATTAATTTTGCTAACAATTTATCATGCATCCCATACTGCATTCTTGCCACCCAATAACTTCAGTGATGACCCAACATAATATTAAATCAATCTCTCTCTCTCCCTCCCCACCCCTCTTTCTGTCTCCCCCCCCGCCCCCCCTTAATCCTGCCCCAGGGATATTTTTCCCTTTGATTTTTAGAGAGAGTGGAAGGGAGGGGAGGGAGAGAGAGAGAGAAAGAAACATCAATTTGAGAGAGACACGTGAGTTGGTTGTCTCCCACAAGTGCCCCAAACAGGGCCGGGGACCGAACCTGCAACCCAGATATGTGCCCTCAACCAGGAATCAAACCCAAGACCCTTCAGTCCTCGGCCTACACTCTAACCATCGAACAACATTGGCCAGGGCAATATTAAATCTCTTTTTACATCATGATCATTTAAGCTTTCAAATCCCAGGTTATATCTATAGTCTTCAATTTCTTAATGAACACTTGGATTGTATTTGTTCTGATTAA